TCATACAAGAATGATCATCGCAGTCCATCCACATGGAAACAGAAGGGTAAACTAGAGTTCAAAAATCAATCATACAAGTATAAAACAAAATCTATACTACACATTCATCAAAAAGTCCCAAAGGAACTCTCATCTCAATCAATCATCAATTCATCAAACATGAAGTCACACAACACACTTGATCATAACATCAATCATGCAATAACATGCAACTCATGACAGATATCAATGCATATCAATCATCTAATGCATCGTCACACATACACCTAGGAGATCTCCCTAACAGCAAAGCAGTGTAAGTGACATCCCAATCCTACCGAAACCACCCCAACCGTTTTTACGCACAATACACCCGCTCGGTCACAACTAAATAGGATAAAAATTCTCTCTCGGGTTTACTCGAATGATGTCACTTACACAATTGAAAGTTCGGATCTATCGTCAGGTATAGCACAGCTAGGTACAGACTTACCACAACCTTGGCATGCATTACCAAGTCACTTGTGGAGTTCGCCCACCGACTATCTGCAAGGATCCACGCACCTTCCCCAGTACTTGGTTAAGGGGATAACCCATGACTTCATACTCCGCTCCAACACTAGCTAAGGACTTAGAGGAGACTCACCTAACCTAGTGGCTTACCTGAGCACCACTCTCACCCAAATCTAGTAGCCTATCTGAGCACCACTCTCATATATCAGTGGCCTATCCAAGCACCACTCTCAAGAGACTCTATGTGAGTTCTTCCAGTTCGAAAATATTTTCCCTCTCCTCAAGTCATAGGCTAGACTCATGCCATAAGGCATCACATGCAATTATGCATCACACATCATACATGGTCTACCCACCATCATGATCAATAATCATACTCATGCCATAAGACATCACATGCAATAATGCATCACACATCATACATGGTCTACCCACCATCATGATCAATAATCATACACATGTCATAAGACATCACATGCAATAATGCATCATACATCATATATGGTCTACCCACCATCATGATCAATAATAATCCTCATATGAACATATACACATGCCATATCATATTTAAAAATTCATATATATCATTACCAAGCATACATATGAATCACACCTCACCATACATCATATATCATACATACATGATCTAAAACTTCAACTTTAAACATGCATGAGCATCAATTTCAATCCGAAAACATCAAACCCACTCACGCCCGGCGCAACTAAATCACGCCCGACCTAACATCCAACCCGAGCCCTAAGCTCTTTCATGCCCGGCGCGCTCAACTTGCGCCCGGCCTAATCCCAGTCAGAGAGTTCAAAAAATCATCCAAACTAGCAAATCCAGCTACTTGCAAACACAAGAACACAATGCACAGACTCCATACAACTCAAAATCAAGTTCAAAATCAACATGTACTTATCCGATGCATCAAAATCATCAAAACTCCAATTTTCCCAAAAACCCCAAAATGAAAAATTTCTCCAATCTAACCATTGATTCTCAACATTCATGCATCGATTGAGTCTCTAAACTCACATACAACCTAAACAACAAACATTCTAACTTTTCTCACCTGAAAATTGGCTCAGAATAGCCAAGAATGGAGAAGAAGTAGAATTTCCTTCCGAAGCTCAACTCGAAACTTCAATCCTCCAAAAGTAAGCTTCCTAATAGAGAAGACAGAAGAGATTAGCGATCTTGAAGAGAAGAAGAATCATACAGAGAAATTCAGGAAAGAAAGGAGCTCACAGACCCAGAGTCCTTCTTTCTAAAACTTCTCTCTAAAACCTCTATCTAAGTTCCTTGGGGTGGCTTTGTATCGCTAATCCGGACTCGGAGCCCGGGTGCGAAGTACGGTCAGTACAATAATTATTTTTTTTAAGATTGATTTTATAATAATAAGAACATTTTAAAAAAAATACTCTCATTCCCAAATAATAAACATGTGTGAAAATATGTTGATTAAATTAGATAATAACAATTTTTTTTAGGATAAATGTAAACTTTTTTAAGTGTTATTTTTTCAGATTAATAAAATGTTTGTGTTTAAGTTTTTCTCATATTAATATTATATTGTATAATTTTTTAAATAAATATTAAATATAAGTGTCATTCAATTAGTTTAATCTTAAATATTATTATTTTATACAGTCAAAACATAATTATTATTTTTTTATTCGTCCCTGGAGTATTCACTGTCGATAGTAGTGACTAATCTCCTCGCTACGTTGTAGGCACCTCAAAGGGTGGGATAGCTGACCCCAAAATTGACCTTGCTTAAGTGTGGATCAACCCCTACTACTGAACTACACGCTTGGGATTAACATGACCGCTTTTTGAATGGACAATTTTTCTTAGAATTTAAAATTTCAATGCATGCATATTTAACTGTCAAGTAAAATTGCATTTTTTAATTGAAGAATTAAAATTATGTAGTTAAAAATTAAGGACGTGAGTTGAAAATTAAAAAGAGAAAAATACAATTCAACTATTTTTTAACGATTCATTAAGGAAGTGTTCACTACACAAAAAGCTCATCTTTTCCGCATTTAATTTATTATTTAAAATAATATTTTTTAAAAATAATATTTTTTGAGAATTATTTTTACATAAATTTCTGATAAAATTATTTTTATGAAAAGGTAAAAAACTAATTTTTTGAAATAATTTGTCAAATTATTTTATTTTAACAACAATCTTAATTATTAATTAAATTTTAAGAAATTAATCTTTTAAAATGTTTAAAGATAATTTAAAAATATGATAACTTTTTTTAGGATAATTAATTTTTATGATGTTGTCATAGTTTTTCATATTAATGTGCTATTATATAATAATAATAATAATAATAATAATTTTAATTTTAATTTTAATTTTAATTCTATATAATATGTTGAATATTTTGGTGGAATATTTTAGGAAGAAAAATATTGTAAAATATGTTCGCTTTATTTAAAAAGAAAAATTACGTAGAGTGTAGATTTCAACTATTTTAATTTAGTTGCTCCTGTAGAAATATTTTTAAAACATTATTTAATTATTTTATTTGTTAACATAAAATATGTATTTATTTCTATTCAATTTTATTCATTTATTATGTTCAATTAATTTTTATAATTTAACATAAATCTAATAATGAATAGTAATGTTTTATATTATAAAATAATTATTAATGAAAAATATTAATATATATTTTGATTCTTTTAATTTATTCAAACTCATTGAAATATTTAAAAATATAATTTTACATATGATCTATATTTATTTTATCCAATTTTTTTTATTTTGCAAAAATAATATTTATAACGTATACGATTAGATTAGTCTAAGAAAAGATATAACAGTTTGATAATTGGTTTTGATAAGAGATATTTAATATATATATATATATATATATATGAATAATTTTGGAAGAAAAAATAATTAATAATTTTATAATTTCATTAATTCTGCCGAAATATTAAAAAAAACAAAAAGTAATTTTTTTGAAGCAATAATTTTCAAATGGATATCTAATAATAATTTGTAATCATTTATATTATAAAAATTTTATTGATTATTAAGGTAAAACTTAAAACACGCCTTTATTAATTATTTTGATATATTTATTTTATTTTAATTATTTTTAATATTAATTTATGTTATAATAACATTTATATATTGAAAAATATAGGAGTAGTTTTGGAAGGGAGGGAGTTGTTGTATAAATTCTTCTTTCTATATTACTAGATATTAAAATACAAGGTCCATATAATTGGATTATATGGTGACATAATCAACTATATGAATTTTCAAAGAGTAAGTCAAGCTCCCTTGAAGTAATGGAAAGACTCCACTTTATGTACTCACATGATAAACACAAGGATTTAACTGTAAAAATCTACCATTTCTCCTCAAATCTCCTAATCTCATGTAAGTAAAAAAAATAAATAAATGAATATCATGGTTATTTTCCACTCTATTCTCTTTTCTTGTACACCAAATACACTTATTAAACCCAACTCATCATAAATCCACTCAAATTTCATCCCCTCTTCTCCTTTCCTCCCATCCACACATTCCATTGTGCCAACTGGACCGTAAAGGATTCGAATCCTACCTTAATTTCAGGTTTTTATTTCAAAATTCAAAATTAACAATAAGATTTTTTGTGGTACCGTAAGTTTTAAGTTGTTGTTATTATTTTAATTAGTTATATGTTGTTGTATAAATTGTTATTTTGTATTAAAAAAATTTGGAATTTGAGAATTTCTTATGAGTATAAGTAGTTTTTGAGATTTTTCTAGATAGAGGTTTAATTTGATTCCAATAATGAAGTATATAAGATTTTAATTTAGAATTGAACATCATAAGTTTCGTTTTTTACGTTTTTTAAAAATCTTGAAAGAGAAAATTCTAGAGAGAAATGTTATAGTTCGTAAGTCTCCTTCTTCTCTAAACCTTCTTGGTTGAGGTGATTTTCTTTCAAGAATTTCACTTAAATTGTTTTGTTTGGGATTTAGGAGTTGATAAAATAATATGTTTAATAAAATCTTTTATTAAATATTAAGAGAAAAAAGACATTTCATATCTCTAAATATTTTTAAAATAAAATAAAATAAAAAATAATAATATAAATAGTTATTTAGAGTAAGTTAATGATAATTATTAAAAAAAATTCTTAAAAATTGAAGGTATAATGATCTATAAAATTTGGAGATAAAAAAAATTATAATGAGAAGAATTATCCCATATATATTTTACTGATGTGTAACTTTAATTCTGATAGTGAATATTACATTGTTAGTGTTATCCGATGGTGGAATTACTGAATTAAGCCATAATAAAGACGTTTAAATTTTGAAGGGAAAATAAAATAAAAGAAGAAGGTTAAATTAGGTAGCCTTTAAAGCGGGTTTGTGATTGAGAAGAATGGGTAGTGGGTCTGTCTTGCGTGTTTCGGTTGGGCCCAAACCCGGCATTTGGTTGGGCCGAATCCATTAACATAAATATAAAGAGGGTTAGAAATGGAAATGTGGAAAAGTGGGATAAGAAAGAAGAGGAGGAAGAATGTGGAGTGTGGAGTGGTGATGAAGCATGTCCCTTACATTTGCATTTGCATTTGCATTTGCATTTGCACCCTCTCTTCACCTTCCTTCAATTTCCACTCTCAGACTCAGGCAATGGCATAGCCCTTCTGTTTTCGTTAAGACTCAGGCAAAGCTTGTGGATGCTGATTCTGATGCGGGTATCTTGTGTGAGCCTTGCAATGGAAGAGGGTGGTTAGTCTGTGACTTCTGCAAAGGCCAAAAGACCAACGTCAAAGCAGAAAACAACAAGCGTATCTACCGTCGATGTCCCTCCTGCAAAGCCGTAAGTCAACTCAAGTCAACTAACATCATATCATCATACTCATTCATATTAACATTTTCTTCTTCAGGTTGGATATGTCCTGTGTTCCAACTGCAAGGTCTTCAAATGCCTCACTTTTCCTGACTTCAACGATTCCACCAATTGATCATCGACTTTCCAATGCCAAATTCTTTGTCCCATCAAACATTCTTGTACAATGTAAGGGAAGGGGGTATCTCTTCTTAATACATATTAGTTTATATCTAGTAATTATGCTTTTCAAAGTCAATGTTCGGAAAAATGTAATGTAAGTAACTTCTGTTCTACATTTCCTCTTTCATGAATATTTCTCAGTGGTCTCTAATGTCTCGTAACCTCTGTTTAAGAAAGAGATTTAGAGTCTAACTCAACCTTTGGAAATTTACTTGAAAGATGAGGATTGTTTCCACATCTCTAGTACACTTCCCGAGGATTGAACATCTCAAAACACAAAATTTGCAAAACTAGACATATGTGATGGTCCAATAATGACTTAATAAAAGGTGGCCTAATAAGTTCAATAATAATGGTTAGATAGACTCTAATATCATCTATAAGACAAGAATTGTTCATCACAGGATAAGACATAGCGGTTGCCTAATAAGACCAACAACAATTAAGATAGATTTTGATACTATTTTAAACTCTTTGTTTACTTTATCTTTAATAGATGTGAGACTTGAATTTTTTTTAATACATTCTCATGCCTAACACTATAGGCATTGTTACATAGATTAGTGAATGATCCTATTTAATGATATAAGATAAGTGGGACTTAGATTTTTTCTAATATCTTTATCGATCAAACTTCTAGTATGTGGCTAATATTCTTTCCACAATTTCACAAATTTAGAAGCAATATAATTGTTCTTAATTAGAAAGGTTGGAGAATTTTTAAGTAGGACTGTACTTGTTCTTGTTCAGTCAAGTTTCGCCAAAGGGTTCCTGTTCCATTGACTCTACCTTTACTTTTTAAAAAATGGAGTTGAGTTATATCCTGGAATCTTTAAATGTGGTTGACAAATTTGAAACCGCTAGCTTCAAGTTTTAGCAAATATTTCTGCTGATTTAGCTCTGCTTTAGGTTACTTTTATGTTGCATTCCGTTAGATTGTGTTAAGGTTGGGTTAAACATCATGAGATATGACGTGATGTATGACAATATACATTTAACTGCGTAAAGTTCCTCCTGTAAATGCTTTCCCCCTAGTCTTTTTTTCTTTTCCATTCTTCTTTCCTATTCTCTTCTATATTTTACATTTTGATGTGGGTTGAAAACTGGGGTTCATGGAAACTTTTCGTCTGTGTGGAACGGTTCAAAATTCAACACGGGAAATTAATCCTGGAAGCAAGAAAAGCAGACAATAGACTGTTTGATACTTTGAATTGATCATCACAATATAAATAGACTACTAAAGACCATATTCAAAAGGAAACCTATAAATTACAAAGGGAAAATCTTAATCAGGTTTAAGCTATCAATTCGTATATTTACCTTGAAACGGTTTTTGTTTTCAAAACGGTGCTTCATTGTGTTGCTAACTAATCACTCATCACCTGTACTTATTTTAGTTTACAGCTTATATCTTCTATTTGTGCAAGTCTTGCTCAGGTAGTTAACAGTGTTTTGGTATTAGAAATGCATTCCTAGTTGAGCCTGTGAAAAGTTAAAGGTTGATAGTTTGAAAGAGAGAAGGGGCAGTGAAAACAACACTTGATCCTAGTAGAAATCCTGAGGGAAACCTTGTAAAAACAATGTGGTTGCTTGTTTGTTGACTAAAAACAATGTGGTTTTGGAGGGTTGAGAAATGCCTCTAACATATTCCGGTTCCAAATTAATTGATGCTTTAGTTTTCAAAAATAATTTTATTTTGATTGATGTTTTTCAATCTTTAATAAAATATTGAAATTCTATTTTAGTTTTGCTCCCTAATAAAGATTGTTGTCTTGAAATACTTAATAATGAAGTATTTATAAAATTTAAGAAAGAGAATTAGATATTTTAGTAAAAATTGGTCCATAATATTAATAAGGTACTATTGTTTGTGATAGTATGCATAAGACTCAATGTTGAAATATTATTGTCTTGATTGTAAATCTTATAAAAAAAATAATATTGAATATATGAATAAAGAAGCAAAATAACCCTGAAACGCCTTATCATTCCATTTTGTCTGAAAGTGAGTTAATATATCTCTTCATAACAAGTTGAATGAACAAGGATAAAACTAGCTCATATATGAATCTCTTCTCAAGTTGCACTTACACAGACATATTGTAATGATTATGATAGTTTAAATATGGAGGTAGCACGTGGTCTCCTTGAAAATCTGACTAGAGTTGCTACTGGATTTTTCAGTTGATTACACATGACACAAGTACAGATATCACATTCTTGAATTCGGATCTAAAAAATAAAAATAGCTATTTGACTTCTCTACTATTGTACTTTGTTTGCATGGAATCTATTGCATTTTAGATGCCAATATGTTTTGATTTGAATGCCGTAAAACCATTTTCTTAAGAAACTGGAACGCCATTACGCTAGTAATTAACCTCTAAATAATTATTTCTTACCACATCCTCTTACTAGTTTGCATACAGTAATAAATAAAAGTTTAATATCTTGTTAAAAAAACATTTAATACTCTTTTTTCTTAGTAATTAAAAGGACTATTAAGAGAATAATGTTACGGGGAGATTTAAAACTATTCTCAACAATTTGTTTAAGTTGAAGGCAGCATACGAATGATATATGCCACTAATTATTTGGCCATGTGATACATCATAGTAGTTAGCAGAAGTCTTGAACTTAATAGAAGATTCCATGCATATGCTGCAGAGGCTTGTAATTTTAGTCTTGTGATATCCACCAGATAACGAGGGCTGATTTCTCACGTTTCACAGTTTACACGTGTTTTCTGCTGCTGAAATGAATGCTGGCATGTGTTTAGCTGTGTAATATAAGTTTGAAATTGTAATTTAATTTCTATACCGGTATAATTTTATTTTAAACATGAGAATAAAACGCAATAAAAGAGGTTTATAACGTGTACCTTCTGCTCAATCAACTAAATTAGACTTTCTCCTCAGTAGTATAAATCAAAAAAATCTTTTACAAATGATGTGTTGTTAAATTCATGGTAAGTTACTAAAATAAACACCAAAAATAAATTTTAGATGAGCAAGACTTGAGGGCAAGTGACTGCAATTTAATATTATTAAGCGTAACAGCACTATTGAAACATGTGTTTGCCTAATGCAGATGATTCTGGCATTGCAACTTGTTATCTCAATGATTTGACAAAAGCCACATGGGAAGGAAATTCAAATGAAGGGAAAACATGACATGGCTTTTAAGATGGGACAATTCCGTAGATTATCCGTATGTTCATTTCCACCTTCCAATTATCACTTGGAGATCTAGCATGCATGTGGCCACTCTCACACATCAAATATTTAACTTCACATACATAATTACTTATATTATCATATAGCATTCCTACAACATGTATATTTTTATAATACTCTCATAACTCATTTGTTTTTCCATTGCATCAAATCGTCTTATTTCACATTTTACTTTGCTCTCCTATCTTCTTTTTCTTGTAAAAAAATTCTGCGAACATAATGTATAAATGCAATTTCTTAAAACTCACCTTATCTATCAAGGACCTACATGAGAGAGATATGATAGAAGATATAGTGAAAAAAGAAGATAAAATAAAATGAAATAGAAAATTTATAAGTGTATGTTTAGGTATCGAAAGTTGGTTTGTGCAGGCCTAGTTCTCTGTTTTTTCATGTTGCTCAGCAAAACTAGGCAAAGTTAGTTTCTAGAACCTAAATGGGGACTGGGGAGTGTTTTCAAAATGAACAACACAGTTCCATTCTTAATTATCAATTTAGAGCGTGTATTATTGTAGAGATCAAGGGGGGGAAAATCGTTAACTATTTCAGTATTTTTTTTTTCCCTGAAACTACAGTCTACTTTTGGCGTCTAAATTGACCTTGGACTCAAAGATTTGGATTGATTCGTTCCAATTAAATAACTTTTCTTTTATTCACTAGTTATATCCTTCTGTATAATATAATGCATATGCGTGATCACGAGTTTGTTAAAGGTCTTGTTTGGTAACAAGTACTTTTCTTATTAGTATAAGAATTTTATGAATATTGAACTGTAATAAAATACCATAACTTTCTATTCTAGAATATCAGAAATTAGTAGCACTCTGATTTGTCATATCTAGGAATTGCTTTTGCCTTATCATCACCCTGATACAAAATTGCGTGAGAGACAAATATTAATCCCTAAAATACAAGACTTGGACTTGGACAATCCATAAAAGTTGTATTCTTTGCTTCATAACTCCTAAAGGGTCATCTCACACGTAATTTATATGTTGAATTCACTCTCACCCTCATACATGGAATATTGGCTTCCACAAAGAGCAAAAGATAAAAAATGTATAAAACTGTCAAAATATTCCTAAACTATCTGCACATTGGACTTTGAGGACGATGAGAAGAATAATCAAGGTGGTTATTGGAGGAACAATACCCCATCATCTTCTCAATGCTAAACCTGCATTTCTGTGTGAAAAACCTGTCCTTTCTCTCCACTATCTTCAAGATACTCTCGAACACTGATACTTCACAAGGAATCCTGAGAACCCCGGTTTGTTCAAACCCAAATTCTTCCTCAGCTTCTCTGAGCAACATGTGAAAGGCTTGGTGACCTAAATACTCGGTTGGTATAACGAACCTGTTAAGGTCCAAGCCAACACAAACAGCTACGTAGCCCTTTGGAACAACATTGCTTGATGCTGATTCACGTTCTGATATAGAAAGTGTTCTTTTAAGAAAGTTGATGCTTCTGCTTGTGGTGGTGGTGGTGTTGTTGTTGTTGTTGCTACTTCTGCTTGATTTTGAAGAGTTGGCTACCCTTCTCCATTTCTTGAGGATCTGTTGAAGTCTCACGATTTCCCTGATCTTGTTAGGTTTCTTTGGAGGATCCATGGAGGATGGACCTCTAGTTTCTTAGAGAAATATTAACTATGGGATTAGAATTAACATGGCTTTCTCAATTTATAGAAGACTCATGGTTTGATAATTTTGAATATTAAAAGTTAAAAGGTTCAATTCTCTAAACGAGGAATATTATATTTAATAAATCACATGCATGCATGAGAAAAGGAACAAAAAGATGTTGTCCAAGTTAGGATGAGTTAAACGTCAAGTTGGGTTTCCCATGCTAGGCATGTGAGTGATTAGTGCAAGTCAGAGCTTTCTTTCTGCCTCACCATTCTTTGTTTTGGAAGTTAAATCCACCATGGTTTTCATTAATTTAAATCATGGATGACTAGGTACGACTGAATAATTGTCAATTATTAAATACTTTAGTAGTAAATATTTTATGTTGAAAGCTAGCGGTTGATTTGAGATTTGGTTTCGAACGCAAAGTCCTATGTATAAAAATTAAAAAGTCTCGTACGACGTAATTGTACATGTGTACCGTTCAAGATCATATGCAACTACCTAAATCAACGGCGCGATCATATCAAATAGAAGATCTTCAAAAGTGAATGACATGAATAGAAGAAAAAAAATTGTTAGATTTTTTTTAATATTCGTGAGATTCATTTTCTACAAAAATTTTACTGACATTTTCAGTTTGAAAGATAAATTTGATCATGTTTAAAAAGTAAAATTGTGTCCTAAAAATATCCATGTTTTGAAATGACGATATTAACTCAAATTTAATAATTAAAAGACAAAAATAACTTTAAAAAATAAAGAAATAAAAATACATTTTAATCTAATTAATACTAATATTATAATTAACTCCTTTGAAATGAATTTTTTAAAAAATTTTAATGTCTAAAATGATAAAAGATTAATTAAGAATGTTGCCTAAATTAAAGTTATCTATGTGATTATCAAGAGATTTCTTTTAGATATTTTTTTTGAAATTGTTTTTAATCCATATATAATCATAAATCAATATTGCATAAGAAAATGTTGAACAAGTAATAATTAATAATAAGACTTAAATATGTTTTAGTCCTTATAAATTTATTTAGATATTTTTTATTTTTCTAAAATTTACAAACATTATTTTTTGTTCTTGTGAAATAAATAGATTCTGATCTTTGTAAAATATTTTTTTTTAATTTTTATTTGTATAAAATTTATAATTATTACTTTTAGTCCTTAACAATTATTTTAAGATATAAAAAGTAAAACTTATTTTAAGGATATATATAAATTTTTAAAGGTGTCAAATACATATATGATATTACTAACAGTCGTGAATAATACTTAGAATAATTATATCATTTAATCTTTTAATAAATAAAAAGTAATTAAAAATAATTATATAAAAAAAAAGACTAAAAATAATAATTTCAATTTTAAAAAGATGGAAAACAAAGAAAAAAAATCAGGAACTAAAATAAAAACAAGTTAATTTTACATAAATTAAAAACATATTTAAATCAAATTTATTATTTTTTTCAAAGGATTTTGAAAACATTTGATATAAGGAAGGGGAGCAAGTAAAAGGAGAAACTATACAGCTAGCATGAAATTGAGATCAAGCGTTTATTTCTTGCAGTATTCAATTTCAAATTTCCAAATTAAGGCTTTTTTATTAGCATGCTTATTTAATGAAATATTGTTTGCTGCTGTTTGTCTTATCTGCAAATTCTCGCATTGCTTCACGTCTTCAATCACATCCACTTTTTTTTTTTTTTTTACTTTTGTGTTTGAAGAACTATTTGGAACTGGGGTAATATATATACAGTGGTGAAATAAGACCAATAAAACTGCAAGTAAAAGCAAGTTAAAATACTTTTATTTTATTTATAAAAATATTTATATTTCAGGAAAAATTAAGTGTTAATTATATTCTAATTATGGAAAACTTTGTTATTTGCTTACAGTCTATATTACAATATGTTAAATTATTTAATGCATGTTATACACTGGCTCAAGTATTTATTATGTTCATACTTTTAGTTTTCTTATTTTATTCTGAACACTAAATATGAGTTAGAGTATACTATTAGAAATTAAAATACGATTTTCTTGTAGATTGTTTTTGCTGAAATTTCCTGTAAGTTTTGCTACTTATATATTTATTATATATATTTTTTGCTGATTTCAATTACAGATAAAATTCTATAAATTTTTATATTTTATGGTTTTTTTTACAAATTTAAATTCATAGGAAAAAAAACTGAATATTTCTTTAAACATATAAGGAATTTTCGCATTGCAAAATGATATTTTAATTGAAGATCAATTAATAAGATGATACAGTGCTTTAACAAAATATAAAAGTTCCCATGACATACGCGACATTAAAGACCTAGACAAAGGCTGAGTCAGTTTTTTCATAATTTAAGTCTAGGTCATGTTCAACTTTAGGCTAAAACTCTTTGTTACAGGTTCAATGCACTATCAAATAGGTGGTGAAAATTAATAGAAGAAAAAGAAAGATAACCACTCTTCTTTTGTTTGTTTTTAGAAGAAAGAGTAAAATAATCAAATAATCACTCCAGCTAGAACCAGAAATTAAGACTTTGGAAGCACCAGGTTAATTTCTTGCACAATTTATACAGGTTTTCTACTATTTCCTCGTGGCTAACAACGAAATTACCATTCCAATTTGTTCAACTTCAAGGAGTACGTCATCCAATGGGGTACTTGAAGACTTATCATAGATGGAGGTGAATCTGAACAAAATAAATAAAATATTATATATTATGTTGGCAGAAAAAAGTATAAGCCATTTGACTTTTAGGTGTAGCAAATTGAACAATTATCTCCGACCATGATCCGCATTCCATTGCACCATTTGAGATAATAACTTATCAATGCATTGCATTTGCTTCCTCATATATGTTGAAGACCATTGCAAACTATCACTGAAAATGGCCGGTGATTATTTTAAACCATATAACAGAATCATTGGAATAACAAACACAATTAATACTTTTTTCTGTAACACACATCGATCATATGGCCTTTGCATTTCATCAACTATATACATACTAAACTAAAATCCATTTCATTATTTGATAGAAACAAGCAACATATATGGTTTTCATAGTGTACAATCAATTTTGTGTTTAGGAAAAGGCAAACAACGTATGTGATATAATGAATATGCCATACTACTTATCCTTATAAGATATAATGATATGTGATAATTTAATATTTAAATATGTTTTAATCTAATTAAATGTTATATTTTAGTTCATCTTCGTTGATTAACAAGGTTTTGGGCTAATATTATTCTTATCAATAGGCTGCTGTTTATCAACGACCCATTCTTCCAAATTTGTTGACTAAAAACCCATCAAGTGTTACGGCCCAATTCAGCTATGTCCAGTAACATGATTGATTAGAAAACAAACAAATGAATAAACATATTTTTGAGGTCTAAAACAAGTTTTGAAGTTGATCCTTTTTAAAGATGAGAGAGTGATAAAAAAATTAACACTCATCCATAAAAAAAAAAAACTTTTAACAAAAAATTATAATATTAGGATTGAATCTCATGAGTCCTTATAATATTAGACTTAAATAATGATTAATAAATAAAAGTTAATACTAATACAATTAATTTATTAAGTTTTATAAATAAAAAAAATATTTTGAAAGTTTAAAGTTAGGGTTTAAACAGTCTTATGTTTGGACTGACCATAATTATATATAAACTATATATAAAGATGATACACTTATTTGGTGTTCACATTTTTAAAGATATTTATATCTATTTTATATTAAAAAATAACTTTTCACTTTATTAAAAATAGCAATTCATTTTCTTTTGGAGTTGCATAGTAGTTTTTTCGTAATAGAAGTTAGATTTTTTTCACACCTTATAGAAAGGTAAGATTTTTTTTTTTTTTTTCACTTTTGAAGGCTGAATGAAACTCCACTCTTTTACCATAATAATATTTTAGGTTGAAAGGTGAAAAATTACTAAAATGTAAAAACTATTTATTAGCTTTATTTCTTTTCAAACAAATCCAATCATTCCATTACAAATTTGAGGTGAATCATGAATAAACTCAGAGGTTAAGTCATATCCGATTGGCTAAATTGAGCTAAAACCCTTTTCCTAGCTCTAAGCGTCAATTCAGTGGACCATTTTAATTAGAAGTAACATATTTACTATTCAAAAGGGTTTTGAAAAAAATTGAATATTTCACCTTTTTATTTTCTGTAAAGTATTATTTTTCTGCAGCAATTTTTCTATTTACCACGAGTTGTCCCCCACGGAATTTTGGAAAAGTTGAGTTTAGCTTCCATCTTCACGATAACAATTCGTTTTAACTTATTACTAAATACTTATCCATAACATAAAAAATATCGCACTTCATTAATAACATATCTACGATTTTAGAAACATTAGACGATTCATATAAACACGTTTTCCATGGATCCATCCATAAGATACGTCACCCAAATTACTTGCTTAGTGTACACAAACTAATTGTGCGCAGGCATCTTCTAAGCATATTCTCATTAATGGGTTTACTCTGGTTGTCAATTTGACTAAGCCTCGGAGAACTCAATTGGGTTAGACTGTTGGAGAAGCTTAGTGCAATTAAATGTTAATGGATCTACAATTTAAAATTTGTAATACTATATTTTAATAATTTGTAATTATTAAGTAAAAAAGGTTATTTTTATATTTAAAATATAATTATTTTTTGTCTTTGTACTATTTTATTAAATTGAAAATTTTCAAATAATATCAAGGATGTTTAAAAATTCTTATTTGTGTGATTGAAGTTGGAACAATTAAATTACAGGAAGATTTTGGTGTGTTTTGTTTTGTGTCTCGGTTTTGGAGCACTAGGCACAAGGTGGACATCAAGTATCCACTTATTGCAAAGGTTTGTTCCTTCCCATGCCCCATGGCATCCCATTAGGTATCCTCTGTTTGATTGGACAACCTCTTTAGTTTTTCATTCATTGCATAATTAACATTTCTTGCTTTTATTCCTCTCTTCGATGAAGATGGTTATCCCAAAGTTCTGCAAAGATAAGGACCCTTTTTTTCTTTTAAG